AGAAAGGTAACTGGTACCTCTTCCCGCGCTAAAAAAGTCATAGTGGATGGAAACATTTTTTGGTTCTTTTAAAGCGACTTAAACTATCATGATGTGTCTTCATATTCTGAAGTGTTTCCTTTTGACCATTTCAGGATGAAAGTAGTGTTTCTTTGATGCATCATCCCTGTGATACCATGTTCTGCCCTACAAAGTGTGTTAGCACTGCCAGCACCTTTTGGAAAAAAAAGGTAAACATATCTGTTGTTGAGTGTATCAAAACAGAATCCAGTTTATTCTCATGGGAATGAGCTGGTTAGTTTGTGGCCACTATCAGGAATAAGACCTTGTTAGTATGCCAGTACTTTCATATCATAGCTGCTGTGGATTATCGTCTCCTGTGTTTTGCAATTTCATGCTCATTTGTATCAGGTGAAAGTCAAACACAGAAGCTGAAGCAGAGAGAATATCTGTTGAATAGAGAGTTGCTATTTTTACATTTTCCAAACTAGAACTGCACTTTATAATATTAATGTCCCCTCTTCGCTCCCTGTCACATTTGGAAAGATAACAGAAAAGTACATTTCCAAAGAGTAAAGAGTGTAGAATGCTCTAGAGTTTCAGTTTCATTCAGTTGGATTGATTTTACTATAACTCTTTTCAAAAGTAAGAAGTACTTTCGTGATAGCTGAGTGCATTGAAGCCTAATGGGCTTAATTTATGTGCAGCTGTGCTGTACCAATACTCTGTGAGCCATTACAGCTGTGCCTCTCAACTTTGTACAAGCCCCTAGTTAGTGATTAAGCTCCACACAGTAGCTTAACCTGGAGAAATTATCAGTGTTTTATGAACACCTTCTGTGCTAAATGGCAGCAACTCCTCTCTGGAGGCAGATCTATTTGCCAACAAAATGGGTTCATCACAAGGTCTGTTAATATCCATTAAAATATACCTGATGGAATATAGGTGCATCTGGTAGACCACCCTTGTGTGCTAGTTGCCATTTCACTAGATTGTGGATGTTCTGCTTGTCAAATTAATTTTGGCTCTACTAAAAAAATGGGCTAATATGGACTTGTCCCACAAGGTTTGATGATGATGCCCTGACCCAAATAGTTTTTCCTTTAAAGGAAAACATTGCAACAAATGAAGGACTAACAAAGGAAAGAGGGTGATTTGTATGGCCTCATTTGGGCTGGCTTTGCCTGATGGAGGTCATAGAAGATTCCAGTGGTAAAAATAAAGACATTTAGAATAGATTTGTTCTAGAGAAGTCAGGTGGCCTTGCAAGGGTCTCATATTTTAAGGTGGCATATCAGACTTTCTCCTCTGTAATCTTTGTGGTCCCTCTTTCAGACCCATGGTTTGTTTTTTTCTTTTTCATATTTACAATCAGTTTTGTTGCCTTTGTTGAAGCTGTGACTGGAGATGAAGTAGGTGTTATTGGCAGCTTATGAGCAGGTGTGACATGACTCTTTTGAAGTCTTACATAGTTTAGCTTATTTGCATCAATGGGTCCCCACTGGGACAGTGTTGCTTAGTATAAGAACAGGCTGTGTGGGTCCCTACAAAAATGGGAAATCATGAGATGAAAAGTAAAAAGCTTAGAAGAGGTGTCATCTGTTTCTTTTTGGGAAGTCATGTAATATCATGCATGGCTAAGGAGAGCCTGGCATGGCAAGATGCGTACATGACCAGGAAAAAAGCTTGGAGAAGGGAAATTTGTTTTAGAGAAATATTACGAATCCTTCCATCTTATATTTGTTGCAGTTACAAGTTGTAGGCTCTCCAGTCTTAAAATTTAATTGGGTAGTGATTAAGAATGAGACAGTTTGTTAAAATGATTTCTGAAGCATATATTAGGTGCCGCCTGAACTTGTTCTCACTACTTTCTGTTATCCCTAGTTGCTGTGCTGGAGCCTACAGTTTGTCATTCCTTCATCTGTCTGGTGCTAGGGGTTGTATGAGATGATCCTTTAGGATGCGGCAGAATGAATATGCTAAGAAAAATGGGCCTGATGTAAATGTCTGTCTTAGAAATGGCAGACTATATTTGTTTTGATTGCCTATGATTATTTCCAACTTCTTGTTTTCCAGCTTCAACAGGGTGAATAAACTTTTTTCCCATTCTTGTTTTCCTAGTATCAGAAATCCTGAAGCAGAGCTGCTCTTAGTTTCCTGTTTTCTTGGAAAGGCAGCATATCCTAGTCGTGTCCCCAGGGAGGTTACCCTTAACATACTTGCAGGACTTGGGCTTGAGGAAGGGAAGCGCTACACAGGGTAGAGATCCAGCGGATCTTGACCCACATATGTTTTGCATGCAGTTCAAATATGCCTCCTGTGCTAGGTAGAACACAGGAGGAGCAGCAATGCAGTGGCTGGCTGAGAAACAAAGCAAGCTAGCAGGAGTGGATAAATCCATCAGCCTTCCCAGCTCAAACTTACAGAAGAGCCATGTAACTCTTGGAGAAAAATAATACAGTCTGCCTGTGGAATGCCTTCTCTTCTCCACTTTTTAAGGCTTATGGGACATGTGTCTTGGGGTTTTTGCTCTCTGAGGATTTTGGTAAATGACTCATAAGGTTAGAGGCACTGGCTATTCTAAGTGGCATGGCCTAGCACAATATTAATGCGTATCTTCTCCTTCTGATCAATTACAGTGTTTAGAGAAAACTGTTTTTTTTTCAGTACTAAAATGGCTGAAATTCTCTTTTAATAGATTTTAGAAAAGCAGTAAGGGAACTTTCCTGACAGTTTTTGTAACATTAAATGTAAAAATATACAAAGATGATAAGTACTCATAGGTCACTTCAATATGGGTTAAATGCCCGTCTGATTTCATAGGTTATTAGAGAATTATGTCATTGTTTAAGGAACTTACTTAAATGATAATCAGGGATCACATGACCTTTGTTAGGACTAGAAACTAATTAAAAGAATGATCAGTCTCTGAGAGCTACATAGCTAAAGGCTCTAGAGTAATGGAATGGTGTTTATTCTGAAACTTTACAGTATCACTTAGAAATTCTCAAATATGGGTAACTACTTGGATTTACTTTATACTGTATAAGTCATGTGTGACTCAAAGTTTAGCTGAAGTGTGCTTTCAGGGGGTTAGATTAAACAAATTTATTTCCAATTAACAGTAAATTTGAAGAAGCTTTACAAAACCCAAGTGTTTTACTACTGTAGGTTCCTTCCAAAAATTATAACAATAGGTTAGAAATACAGTTCTCTGGCATTTTGAGGCCCAAAGAGGATAGCTTCATACTAGTATATCACATCTAGATAGAATATTCTTTATGGCAACCTCAATATATGAGCAGTTTGTTTATCTGTTTTATAATACTTTCAAATTTTATAAGCATTGTCTTTTTTTAAGTTTAGATTGTGGCCTTCCCCGTAATCAAAATGGAATTATTAAAACAGGAGGTTGGCCATAACTTCAATCAGGATAAGACTTGAAATATACTTATGTGGTTCTTACTGTAACACATGACCATGGGAAGACCTTGCGACATGACTTTCCTATCGTTGCTCACTGAGCTGGGGGATATTTCATCTAACCACAAGCCACATCCATCCCTGTCAAATTAATGAGAGAATACACATTTAAAGAAACAAAAGGAAATGGCTCTCCTTTGGGACCTAGCATTATTAATTGTCCCTAAGTGTTTTTAGTCATCTGATTATATTTTATTCTCTGTTTCAAGCATTAAAATAATGTCACTAAAATTCCTAATAAGGAATGTCTCTTTTGGAGGAAGAAGTAAATACCAATTTTCACGGTTTCTACCACTTCATGTGAAAAATCAGTCATTAGTTTCATGATTCACACTTAATTGCAAGAGATGAAAATAACTTCCAAACATAACCTAAAATGTCCTAGAAGATACTCTGAGAAATTCTGTTACAGTACTATATTATTGAGCTGAAAAACATTACTGACAGTGAAACTTCCACTACTCTGTTGTTCTTTCTCTTTCTCTTCTTATCTGAGTGGCAAAGTGAAAGCCTCTAAATGTGTGGTACTAGTTTCAAAGTGTGCCGAAAGAACTAGGGGCACAGCATATTTGTCCTAAGGCTGGGTTTTGGTCCTCCAGCGGTCAGTGCTCTTTTGTGCTGCATCCACCACACTGTTTATGAGGTATTTGGAGTGATTTATGAGGGCTGCTTTTAGAAATCAGATCCTCTGGTAGCCTGTATGTTTACAGGACACTTACTAATGTGCTGAAATGTAGATTGTGAGCTCTCATCGTTGCTGGTATTTTCAAACTTTCAAAAAATAACATGGTGAAGGATAGAGGAGTTACATATGTTGGTGATAAGGGAATCATGGAAGGGAAGCAACTGCAGAGAGATTCGAGAGCATCCGAGGAGTTATGGTGTCAAACTTAACTGCTATGAGTGTTGTATTTTGAAGTGAAAATTGTGATGAGGGAACCTGTGAATTACAGTCCAATAGTAATAGGTGCAAGTGTTTAAATTGTTGCTAAATTACTTTAATCTTTGACATTGTTTTCCATTTCTAAAGTGCTAATGTACAGTGAAGTACAACAACAATAAGAATTTACAGTCAAAACCAGTGGCAACTGGTACCCTGGAGAGGTACAAACAACGCTGCATTGCCCACTTCCATTCTCAGACATCCGTACGTGGGGCTAGCACACATGTACACACACACATTCATACACATTTCCCCTGCCCACCCCCATATTTATATATCCTTTCTATATACATGTGTGTTTGGCTGTTCCACAGCACTTCGACAACAGCTAAATAATTGGATGTGCGCTTCCCTGGGTTTATGCGGTGCCTTCCCTGCATTCTGTTCTTGCTTCAGTAGCCTCACTGGCAATTAACTGGGAATATCATTAGCCCCTACACTTTGTTGCTCTTGTGAGACAAATCTGGCTTCCTTCTAGTGTTATACTTAGAAACTGTGCAAAGGTCCGTTTCTTCACCTGGACTAAATGTCAAACAGGTCAGTGTACAAAGAGAACAGACTGTTCAAAATCTGCTCATTCCAACATCCTGTTTGCTCTACAGTCTATTTTGCCATTCAGTGTGTCACAGATGGCCTCATGGTCCCCATTGCTGGAAGCCTGGCTGCTGGCAGGAACATGTCCATTGCGCTCTGTTAAGAGATTGAAGGTAAAGAACTGACATGGGTCCTTTTGTCTGCTGCCTTCCTGTAAGGGGCTCAGGAAAGAGCTGGAGTTTTTCCATTCCTGGACTGTGCACATCTCCATATGTGGGTGAGTGATTTTGCTCAGGTAGCCAGGGCTGGGAGATGCTGAAGATAATGTCCTCTGACTGCCACTTAGGAAACTCCCGCTGTCTTCCAGAGAGTCCCTCCTAGGGTGTTCAAAGGAGCACCGATTCCAGTTTCTGTAGCTGTAGGCCCACCACCCCAACTGCTTTCGACGGTGGCACTGGCATTTTAAGATCTGTATAAAAGCCCTCTTGAACTCTTTGCTTGAGCAAGGGTAGATGATTGGATTCAAGCAGCTGTTAAAGTAGCCAAGCCAAAAAATCACCTTGAAGATCGTTTCAGGGGGCTTCAGAGCTGAAAACAGAGATCCTGTCCAGAAGAAAGAAGCAGAAACAATATCTGAGAGAATTGGTTTGCCTGCCTTTAGGAAGGGTAAATGTCTCATCAGATTACTATTAGAATCTGTTTATTAAAAATCTTTAATGCATGTTGCTTTCATTTTTGGTCTTCTGGTAATAAAATGTTATTTTTGTTATTTTTAAAGCTAATAAGGAAATACTTTCCGCCATCTGAAAGCTAAAGGATCACGTAATTAATGTAGAATTAAAAAATAAAAAGTAGTCCTTGTGTTTGTATGTGCACATCTACAGGACTAACATCTATTGAAAGATCAAACCTCCACTGTCCAAGCTGCTGCACAATGCATGCATGGAATAGGGTTGTGCTTTCTTTAAAGAGCTTTTGAATGTCATTTTTGAAGAAAATGATCTAACCATTCCCAGGCTTCTTGGAAGGAGGGCATTCAGACATACCTTATAACTTCTAATACATTCTCTGGCAGCTCCTAAACATCACCCATTTATCTAGATTATTATAATAGCACAAACCTCTTGAAACTTGGAGTTAATTGTGGTACTTCCTATATCTCAGGCATTCGTGAAAACGGTGTAACCGAAACAAAGAAGTTATTTTATGAATATTTTCTCTTCCATTCACAACCAAATAATTTCCCTAAAGAGGTTGCCCAAATGAAAAACTCATACTATGAAGTCCATTTAATGTACTTATAGTATTAAAAACATGCAATTGATCAGCTAAATTTAGCAAATGGGGCTTTATAAAAGAATGTATGACATTTTTAAAGCAAAAGAGGCATTCAACAGTTATCCATCTGGGAAAACACCTTTGTGTCTTGCTCAAGTAATCAGAATGGGGATTCAGGAGAGAATGCGTGTGTCAGGAACTGGAGTTAGATTTGAAGCATTTTTCAAATAGAAGGTGACACTCAAGCCTGAATGTCACATCTCTGAGAGGAGCGACATTGCACAATGGAGTGGTTTCAGATTCTGTGGGCTGTGAAAGCAGCTGAGTCTGTTGTGACTGTCAGGATGCCTTAGTGGGCAGGGATATGATTCTAGGCATATTTCACATCTCGGAGCAATGTAGAGGCCATGGCTTGGGCCTCAAAACTATGCAAAAGCACTTTGTAGCTTCTTGGGTAAATAGCTCTTGCAGCAGATACCGCTGTTTATCTAGATGACATGACAGTGCTGGCCTGGTGCTGAGTATAGGGGTCTGACTCTCCTTAGCTCAAAAGAAAGCCAAAGGGAGGTAAATGTGTCATTCTTCATACATCTACTGCCCTCCCCAGTGTGTCAGCTAGTCCCAGAGCTGGCTTAAAAGAGAAAATAAGGTGCTGAGATAGCATCAGCTACCTGGAGACACGCTTTTTCCCCCACACTTGGGAAACAGAAGTCAGGAAAGATCCAGTGAATCCAGAATAATCGATTTTTTCCCTGGCAGTGTTTTGAGATGTTGCCAGCTAGCACTAGATCTACCTGTTGCCTCGGAGATAAGCCAACATGCTAGCCCTTAAGGTTAAAATGAGGTTTTAAATTACAGAGTTCATAGTATTTCTTTCATGACTCCTGCACTTTACTGACTTTCACTCCATGTGCAAGACTCTTTTGTTGAACCCGCTAATGATTTGCAGGGTTTGACCAATGCCTCTCTTGTCCATTTGATGGACATCCTGCATCTGTCCTGATTGCTACAGCAGAAAGTACAGAGTACAACATGTCTAAGGTCAGAGAAACTATGAATTGTATTTGGAGAATTTCCATTGTATTTGGAAAATTTCCAACAGATAAATCAATGCAAGCACTTGAATCTCTGTCTTGCAATTTACATACTCTGATGAAAGATTCAGTGACAGTTCATGCAATTCTATGGAATAAGCTGTTAAATAGGTGTCAAATTCTTATAAAGCTTTAGGAAAAGTTGATCTAAGTTTATAACTGAAGCCAAGATGAGGATGATGCTCCAAAATCTCCCATGTGCACAGCTGCAAGCCCTTTCAGGGTTTGTTTTGTAAATAATAATTGCTAATGTTTCCCCTTCAGTTTAGGGAAAAGAGAAGCTTTGTGACTTTACAAAACAAGTAAAAAGCATTATTATGTACAACAAGGAACTTTTGGAGCTCATACTGATGTATGTCTTAAATTGTTTTCTGGAGCTCCTTTAAAATATAAATGCTTTTCGGGTCATAAAGCCCAGTAACCCTTGTGAAGTGGCTGAAGATCTCCCATTTTTTCTTATGGTGTGAATGTTGAATGAGCAGTGGTGAATTTTCTCAGATCACTTGGTTTGCCTTTCTCATACTGTAACAGTTGAAAATCTACAGGACATTCCTCTTCCAGATTTAAATATTTTTAGGCAGGTTAAATATGGACAGAGTAAATGCTATGGTATACTTTTCAATAAAATAAAAAAAAAAAGAAAAGAAGTTTACTGAGAAATTTTATTAAATTCCCTAAGGACAAATAAAATTAGCTGAGCTATAGAGAAGAATACTGGGAACCAATGCAGATAAATAAGTTGTGCTTGTGTAATCTATATTGCACATGAACCAAATATAACCATGTACAGTAAAGACTATGAGATCAAGTAGGGAAAAGGGCAAAAACCTCAGTGCTGGAAAAAAGCTAATCTTTGTAAACTGCTTCAAGAAGTATGTGTTCCTTAAGGAAAAAAGGTAAGGAGCTTATGCTTATCTTTCGTAAAAATCTGTTTTTCAAATGCCATTTGAAAGAAATGACAGCAGGCCATTTTCATCAGCTGCAAAAAGCATTTTCAAAGCTCTTTTATTTTAAAGGGCAGTAACACAAAAGAGCAGAGAATTTCCTCATAGCAACCCTGCCTGACAGAAACACCTTGTGTTCAGGCCTGATTCTAGAAAAATCAGTGAGCCCCCATCAATCATTTAAAAACCATCATGACCCTAGCTGAGTCATTAACAGAAAATCTGGAAATAGATCTGTTTGGAAAGCTATGCGGTGGTGTGATTTAAAAATAAAGGTCAGCATTTATCTGCAATAGTAGAAAAGTTTTGAAACGAAGAAATTCAGGAATAAGTGTCAAGGAGTTAATGGAAACACGAATCATTAAACACTATTTAATTTTCCACTTTTTCCTGTTTCTGCAAACAGCACATTGCATGTGTTGCTTGACTCTTAAATTATACAGAAACTGGTAGATGAAGTTTTCACAAGAAGGTGAGTAAATATGCTTTTCTGAACAAGGAATATTAATTTGATAAATAATAATTTGATTTATAGACTGGTATGTTAATTGCTCTTATTTCAGACTGATGTATTAAAACCAGATAGAATTCTTCTTAGCTCCTCTACCCTTCCTGGCTCCATCCATGGCTAATGAAGGGATTGCCCACCACCAAAAGCCACAGATGCTCTGAAATGCAGTAGTTTTGTAAGACAACTTTCATCATGGTGAAGGAAGAAGGACTTAGGAGAGACATGACAATTCATCTTTAAAAACAAAAAAGTTACCCTTAAAGAAGAAGGAAATTAAATTGTTTTCCATGTCAACAGTGGCAAATGTATGAAGCACAGTGATTTGAATTGCAACAAGACAAACTGAGATTATGGATTGGGAAACACTTTTTGTCTTCCAAGATAAGAAAATTCTGGAACATATTGCCTAAGAAGGGTGTAAAAATCCAACCCTGGAGGCTCTTAAAAACAGAGTAGACACGCATCTACTGATTTATGTATAGCTGATCCTGCCTTTGGGTTGGAGGATGCCCTAAATGACCTCTTCAGATCCCTTCTAGTCCTTCTTTGTCTGATTAACTCTCCAGAATACAACTGTGTTCATCAGGAATACTTTATGGCTTAAGTTTTGGCAGCCCAGCAGAGTTTTACATTTGCAGTACTGGAATCCCACTGACACTGTAGTCTTGGATCCCCTTGGTAAATATATCCGTTATTTAGGTTGAGGATTAACTGTTAGAAAAATGGAATGTCTGAGACAGATACTTATTTGGGCACTTATTCTCTTCAGGGTTTTGTGAAGTTTCTGAGTTTTTGTGTTCAGTCCCTCCTCACTGGGTGCAATCCCAGCCTGAGTTTTCTACAGAGAGAGGAGAAAAGCTGTTCTTTATTATCCAGAAGGTGGTTTAGATGGATGTTGCTACATGTGCCATGTACTTCTAAATACAGTTTAGTTTGGTGACTGTTAATGCAAAGCTCCACTGCCTTTCACTATATAAAGATACAAAAAATATTTTGATCAGCTTGTATATTTTTAACATTACCCTATTCCCTACCTTGTTCTTGGAATTAACAGCAATACCTTTTATTGAGCTGCACACATGCATTACTTCAGAAGTAACCTGTCAGGCACAAACAACTGCAGGCTATTTTGGTACCTTAATAAAGTGATAAAGCTAAGCCTACTAGAAACACTCCCTAAACATCAGACTGATTTTTCCTCCCCTAATCTCCAACTACTTTCCCATCACAGTCTGATAAACAGATTAAATATTTCCCTGTACTGATTTAGATTGCTTTTCAAAATGGCTGGAAAATTTTGCGTGTGACTATCTCCTCAGTGATTTATTTGTGCGGGGGGAAGCCAGGGTGATTTCCCTACTCAAACTGACTTCTCTCCTGATGCTTCATGTTTAACAGTTTCACTCTCAGAGAATGTATATTTTCTATTCTCTTTTATTTTTCTGTGCTAAACCCTGTGATTTATTAAACATAGCACCACAATCTTACCTCTGATTGCACCTTTGACACCAAGGAAGTTTTTGTAAAGTCTGTGTCCAGCACAAATGGAGAACAGGAAATATTTGAGAAACTCAATCAGCTTGATCAGTTTTGATTGTTTTTTGACCCTGCTCACCAGACTTGACAGAGCCATTCAGCTTGGAAATACACTGAGCAACCGGAAACACCATAAAAAGGAATTAAGAAGTATTTTATTTACTAAAAGTTAATTTTATCTAGGGTCTGACTAGTTCTTTGTAATGAATGCTTTATTACACAGAAAGTAAGTAAAGCACC